GAAGGGAGGACAGAACTGGAGTAATATGTTCAGACCTACGAGTTCCGGTTAAAAGCCGAGCAGCAGCATTCTGGACGAGCTGAAGACGTAAGATGGAGGCCTGGCTGACCCCAGCATACAGTGCGTTGCAATAGTCCAATCGGGTCGTGACAAAGGTATGGACTAGTTTCTCAAGGTCAGGTCTGGACAATACTGGCTTGAGCTTAGCTACCTGTCTTAGTTGGAAGACGCTTTTCTGCAGAACAGAGTTGATTTGTTTGTCAAACTTGAAGTCAGAGTCTAAAACCATCCTGAGATTTTTACCAGACTGCTTAAGATATGGCTGAAGAGAGTCCAGGTTGACAGGATCAGTGGCGGCAGTTGAGCTAGGGCTAAAGACAATGACTTCAGTCTTGTCATCGTTAAAACTTAAGAAATTTGAAGCCATCCAGGCCTTAATGTCATCCAGACATTTTAACAGAGGGTGAATGGAGCAAACACTTGCTGGTTTCACAGGCAGGTAGATCTGACAGTCATCCGAATAACAATGGAATGAAAGACCATGTTTCCTCAGGATGGATCCCAGTGGGAGCAAATAAAGTGAGAACAGAAAGGGTCCAAGAATCGAACCCTGTGGGGCCTCGCAAGAAAGAGGTAATGAGGCGGATACATTATTACCAACCTTGAATGGCTTGTAATTACAATTTACTCTCATGGGGAGTGGTGGTTCAGGGGCTAGAGAAGGTGGGCCTGTGATTGGAAGGTTGCCACCGGTTAGATCCCATGGATCGACAACATCAAAAACGCGTGTGGGAAAGGTGAAGCACCCACTTGTCTCCACCCTCATTTGCCCCACTCTGGGCCCTTGAGCAAGGCCCTCAACTCCCACCATCTGCTCCTCCCGGTGCCCTAGATCAGGAGTTCCCAAACTTTTCCATGCCATGGCCCCCCCACAAACAGCATTAATTTCTGACCGAGGCTCCTCTCAGCAAACCCACAAACAATGCTACAAAATATGTAAAGAAACATCAACTTTTAGAATGTTTTAACTTTTATTCAATATATTCTATTAATTATTACAGCTGCTGAGCATAAAAGTGTTATTAACTAACATGTTTTAAACACTGTATTTTATTCCCACTCAAGTGGCGCTGAAGTTTCGAAGGTTTTAAACACTCGTTTGCGAAAGTCTCCAGACAGAGGACACATTTTGGGCAATCATGGCCATTTTTCTGCATGAAGCCATACTTAATGTATGCTCCCTCATACCTTCGAATATTAGCTGGCCACGAGTTATTTGTTTTTTGCAACGGTTTCGACCACAGCAGGGCTGCTGGTCGGTTCCCTCAGTCTTTTTAGAAACATCTTCATCTTGTCCTTGCTATGCTTGAAGAGTAAAGCAGCTTGATACATTTCACTGACAGCCACTCAGAAAGATGAGCATGGTGAAAAATATTTCAATATATTATTATAAAATATACTTTAAAATAGATTCAATTTAATTACAGTAATTTAAAAAAGTTAAAATTTTAATTACAAAGTAATATATTTTTTATATTTTTGCTTTTTTAAAATCTTCTCTCCAGCTTTCTGAGGCCCCCTTAGCGACCCCTGGCGTCCCCCCAGGGGGCCTTGGCCCCCACTTTGACAAACACTGCCCTAGATAGCAGCTCTCTGCTCCACACGGATGGCTGTGGTAGCTCGGTGGTCTGTGGAGTCAGGAAGGGCATCCGGCATAAAAATAATTGCCAAGTCTTTCGTGAGAGTTAGCTCACTGGAGCAGCCGAAAGAAGAAGAAGAAGAAAAAATATTTAACATAGCATAACCATGACTTAGCTTTTAATAAATACAACTTAGAATCTCATACTTAGGATTTAGTACATTTTAATCATGAGTTAGTATCTCAAGTAAAACTGGAGCTCATAATCATGATGTTACATCAGATAATAAAATGTTGCGATACTTTACTTAGTATTCCAAGATCATGAACTAAAATCCCCAAATCACTAAGTATCTCACAGTCATGACTTAATATTCCATTACCATGACTTAGTAGTAGTAGTAATCTTGACTTAGCACAAGGCCACTTAACTAGATTAGAGACCACAGTTACTGACAGCCAACAGTTCCGGGGTCGAACTTCTGGTAATTATGGTCAATTTGTAAATTTAATTTACTATTTGAAGTTTATATTTACTTTAAATGAACTCTTCAGCAGTGAGACTGAATTGTGTAGTCATTGATCATCTGTACAACAGGATCACCTATTTGATGGAACAAACGTAGTTTATTTAAGTGTACTACAAGTATACTTATTTTACACTAAAAACGAGGAAGTGTACTTGAAGTTTACTTTTTATAAACTTTATTTGAGATACATAAAAATAGTATTAAATGTCCCAATTTAGTCCAAACAAGTATTAAATCAGTATACTTTCTAGTACACTACAAGTATGGTGTGTAGTATACTTGATATACTTATACTTAACTTAAAGTATACTTGCAAAAATGAACTTCAAAATGTACTACTTTTTGTTATTTGTCAGTTCTCATTATTTAATTATTTATTTAACTTCCCTCCCCACTCCATTGGTTAGCTGTGCCCACCACTGCGTACAGGTGCCCTTCAATAAAACCAGTAAACGTTGACAGATACATTTCAGAAGCAACTTCCCTTTGCCAGAAAAGGTCTTGTGGGTAATATAGTACATTAGAATCTAACGTAGCCTACGGTTTAGCACACTCATGCTGATGACTTATGAGAAGTGGAGAAGTACAAGTACAGAAGAGTAACTTCATTCAAGCATATATAATCTAACTGGTACCAAAAGAGACTATGAC